AGCCGGTGAGATTTGAACAGCCGAACTGCAGAACTGCAGTCAGCTGAAGTAGCCTGCAGTGCTGCATTTAACCACTGTGCCACCTCGGCTCTTGAGGCAGGGAACCTTTGATGGGAAGCGCAAACTTTGATTTTAACCCGTAAAAACAAAGCTTCATCCTATTTAGGAGGAAGAAGACTTACATTTCCACATTTTTACCCGATCTCAATTGAAATCGGTTTCTGAGAGCCGCTGAAGAAGTCACCTATTTTGAAATCAGGGCAGGAGAGAGGAAAAAAAAACTGTCTTGAAATAGTGTTAATAATTGAAGTTTGACCCTATATATATTTGGACAAGGGATGCAAAGAAGGCCAGTTGTTCAAAACACCACATAAGAAAACAGAAATTGGTGTGTTTCCTGGAAAGCGTCACTTGCTTTTTTAAAACAAAAATCAGAATCCCTTATTCCATCAGCTAGCTCTTTGTAAATCATTTAGATTGAACCAATGTTTAATTATGAAGGGCTCCCATCCAGTCTGAGCCCTCGCTTTTGTCCAGCTGGAATTTAAATGAATATTTTAAAACACTCCGTGTTCAGGATAGGTTTCCTGGGAAGCCGGCTGCCTCCTTGATGGTGGCACCTGTCGCCTTAGAATTTTAGACGCCTGTCTTCCCTTTCTTGCCTCTTTTCAGTTCTGCCTTCCCTTCCCTTCAATCTTTAATCTCCAATTGCTTAAATGGCATAATTTTTAACTCGATCAGGCCACTGCAATGGTCGGTTTGGGACTGTGCCCTTTCTATTATCACTTTCCTTTCCGGCTGCCTTTTGGAAGTTTTGATTTTTAAAAAAGCAAAAAAGCTGTGAAACTCAACTCCCATTGAGCAATTTCTGCCTGTCGTTTCCCCTGTTTGAAGCATCATCTCTCGGGATGCAAAATCACTGACTTTGGCAGATGCTTTTTTTTTTTAAAGAAATACAGCGTTTCTTCTACAGGCATTATTCAGAATTGTAAAGGAAACTGTGTGTGTGTGTGTGTTTTAAACTGTTAAAGTTCCCCTTCCCCTCTGCCTTGTAGAATTTAATTGATCCAGAATTAAGGATGACATTCCACATTCTCTAATGCTCAGCTCGGAATCCAGCCTGGTCCAGCATCTTGCCTTCCTTACAAAGCAAAGGAATTTCAGAGCGATCTTTATAAAACTCCTTCCGTTGAACAGACAGGGAACAAATTTCCCTTTTAATGGCGGGAAATAATATAAAGAGCCTTAATGTTTTAGTTTCAAGACTGATTCCTGCGGCCACTGAATGAGACACCTAGATTGTATATAAGGGGTTGAGAGAGAAAGAGGGGGGGGGAGGAGAGGGGGAGAGTGTGTATACTGGTAGTTCTAGACTTATGGCTGTTTAATGACAGTCCAAAGTTAAAATAGCCTTGGAAAAAATAAGAAATGAACTATACTTATCACTGTTGCGTGTTATCACAATATGGGCACTTGGCAACTTTGCACACTTACCATCGTTTGCAGCATCCCGCAGTCCCGTAATCATGACTTGGGGCCCCTGTTTGCCAATTTCTGCTTTAAAAAAAACAAAACCGTCCCATTGAGGAAGCTGTATCTCTCTCAACGACCGCGTGGTTCGCTTAACGGCCACCGTGTAAAATGGTAAAACTCGCTCCAATTCAAACTTAACAACCGAAATTCCAGGCCTGCTTGTGTTGGTAAATGCAGTATGGGCGTGCATATGTAAGTGTGTGTACACACACACACACACACACACACACTCCATTATGTATATTTCGTGCAATGCTTAGCGTCTCGCGTTGAAAGTCTCCTTTTTATTTCGCTGCGCACTTCAGACTCCAGAAAACCACTGAAGATGTCAAAGTAAATTTTAATTGACAGCAATCATTGGCGGCTGCTCTTCTGGTTCTTAACAAGCCATATCTGGAGCGATGCCACTGCCCCTGCCGTGTCTTCTTGGTATTTTATTATCAAAGCCCTAACATACATTATCTATCTATCTATCTATCTATCTATCTATCTATCTATCTATCTATCTATCTATCTATCTATCTATCTATCTAT